GGGTTACATTCACGCTGGTATGCAAAGTGTCCGGCGGTTGTTTCGAGAACGCGGTACCGATGCCCACGCTTTCTGTCTACCGTGGCATTTTTCAAAGTACATGCACGGACAAGGAGTTTTTGCAAATAAGTGGATAGATCATAGAACGGAACAGGGATTTGGGAGGAGATCGGTACGAATCGAAAATACGCCAACGACAAAAGAACGCGTAACGAATTCTAATTGTTATTTAAACCTCGCTCGGCTGAAAATAACACCGGATGAACTGACAAATATGTGGATCGCGCTATACTCGTTGCACGTGAACAAACAGCGCTAATCGAACGAGGAAACCAGTCAGTGTCGTTCTCGACACATCTTATTATTACCCATTACCATTGTCGGCCGCAAACGAATTTCTGTCTCCTGTTTTCGGAAGCATTTTCAAAGCATAAAAATAAACCTGAAATTATGTCAAAATCCTCGCTATCTCGACGGTGCACTGCCGGTAATTTAACAAATCCCTTTCTCGAATATTTCTTTCCCGATGATTCTAGTAATCGATATTATTAATCGAAAGAATCAATTTCAAAATTCGTGTTTCAATGAAAAGTACGAGCAAATACGTGCATTCGCGAGCGTACAATTTAACCCGACTTCGAAGTTGGCATGTTTTTTCGAGAATACCTTGTATAATTAACGTCGAGCGTGTACTCGTGGGAAATAATGGAAGCATTTGAAGTTGGATCATAGATAATACTCGCGCGACGTTTTCTCGTAACGCGTGGACGCGATCGCAGATAAGATTCAAAATTGTCCTCGTGCTCCGTACATAAGTCGACCGTGATACTTTCGCGTGTCACCACGAGGATTATTTTCATTAACGGACGTTTATTCCGGTGCAATCTCACCTGCGATCACGTAATATTCTCCGTGGTACGTAATATTTTTATTCTACTGTACGTGAAATCGAGACGTCTCCGTGTAATCTTGTTTTCGTTCAGCTCGCGAAACTTTCCGCATATCCCGAAAACGCATCTTTGATTCGCTCCTTTATCGACAGGTAAGAATATCAAATATACCTTCCGCGATCTTTCAATGATACATCTTTCAACGATACGCGCTTTGAAAATTCTGAATGAACCTCTGGAGCCTGGCACGATTTCATACACGATGATTTTCATTATAAGTACAGTGAATCCTTTCGAAACAACAGATTTTATAAAAAGCTACATCCCGTGGACGAATGTCTCGCGTATGTTTGCTCGTGGGATCCCGCGCCTCGTTAATACATCGGAAAAAAGAACGATACTTGGACGGTACTTCGAAAACAAAACGATAGAAACGGAACGGCAATGTGTACTTTTAATTAACTGCCCGGTTAATCATGGCCATTAGTCAGCTAATTTTACGCGCGATCGTTCGTATCGTGATTACTTCGATTCTTACTTTACATTGCGATCATCTCACTCGAATTTTATTCTCGGAATCATTTAAGAAATTTGATTTTTATCAAGCTCGATTCGTTTATTTATATAGCAACTAATTAACTCTTGACATCGGCTTTTTCAGTTCTTAATATCTAAAATCAGATATGACACTTTAATCCTTAGCACCTAACAAAAACCGAGGTATAACTTTAGACTTTGCAAACTTTTACTTTAGAGCGTTTAGGAGGACAGTACAGTGAAAAATGATGCAAAGAATAAAGCGAAACTTTTTCGAGAGACGCTCCAAACGCATTCGGAATTCCTTCGTTTATCGTTACCCGCGAGTAGTAAATTTTTATTCGGTCTCGTAAAAAAGGATAAGCTGTAAACAGATGTAAAGATTATCTTTCGAGTTTCGATCGTATTTCGCTTTTCTAGCCGACGCGGCGTTCGATAAACACTGCAGTCTATTCTACAAGGTTGTGTCTTTAAACATTCGGTTCCATTTGTTTGTTCAACGCATCGAAATCAGAAGTTATTGGTAAAATACATAGATTTTAGCGATGGTTCCAATCCAATGAAGCAAACGTTATTTTCCGAGAGATATAACGTTCGAGCGCGTCGAATGTCGCTAGAAAGACGACTGGCCAGCGTTACAAATTATGGAATTGCAGGATTTTTAAAACTTTATACCATAGGTAACGATGTTTTCGTTCGAAGAGACCGCGGCTTAAAAATAACTGACGTCGCGTACGCAGCCGGCTGTAATTGCGTTATTATGCGCTCGCCACCTTGAGACGTCATCGCGGAAAAGGCGCCATCGTTATTCTCCTTACTGTTACGTGGAATCATATTCTGAGCGTCGATATTGTTGCTGTACGTTTCTGTTTTTGCGCGAAGAAAAAAGAATCGCGCATTCTCATTTTGAGCTTATGCCTGGCTGACACGGTTCTTTTTTCAATCAGCCTCGTTAAAAATACATTTTTTTTTTTTCTTTGCCGGCCTCGTTTACGAATCCATCGCGACCGACTGGAGCCGAAACTCGCCGCGTCTCGTCGCGTTTGGCTCGCGCAATCAGCCGTCGCTAAAAACGAACGATCCTCGTTAAACGCACCGTCTTCGTCTTCGCGTTTCGCCTTCTTTTCCACCTGTTCGACGATTCGGCTTCTTTCGCTCCACTTTCCGATCGGTTTTGCAAACGATTTTACAGCCGTTTGAAAAATCGAGATCGAAGAACGCGCTCGCGTCGTTTTCGGACGGTGCGCTTTGAATTACAGCGGTTACTATTTCTTCTTCCCTCGCGCGGCTACCGAGGTTCGAACGTTTCAAATTGCTCTTCTACGAGCATTTCCATCTGGCCATTATCGTCGTTACGACTATATAATAGTCATCCGTTATCGTATTTGCCGCGGCAAACATCGATTCGTCCGCGAAACATCGAATATTCGGTATTTAACTGGCAAATGCACGAAAATATCGTGGACGAGTAACAAGCTCGAAGCGAAAGGTAATTCTTTCGGCAAGAATCGGGCGTGTCGTTTGAAGAAAAAAATACGCAAGAAAGAAGAGAAAAGAATCGCGAGCATTTGGTTTAGGAGGCGCAAATATTTTTCAACGTGGTCTTGCATGTACGCTCGTTACGTCAGCAAAATCCGCGAACTCGGCTCGTAAATGCGATTCGTGCGAATGTAAACACGTGTTCCTATTTTTCCTTTAACTAATCTACGCTACTAATATTTGCGAACCGACCGGCTTCATTTATAGCTGCCTTTACGATCGCTTCTGTTTTTTTCATTTTTTCTTTTACGAACGGCATCTTCGACACCGTACGCGCCACCGTATCCTGCTCGAATTCTTCTATGAAACAGATCAAACTGTTCTGCCATTATTCTTCTTTTTGTTTAAATCAAACCATTCGACAAATCGATCTCGTACCAGAACCGATCACGCTTTTGGTATTTCGCGATTATTTTACGATCGTACAACGGTCGATCCTTGCTCGTTCTTTAACGTATACGTTCACGATTAAAAATACACGAAACTATTTCATGGCCGCTTACTTTCGTACAACATTTTGTAATACATATATCGAATCCTATAGAAGATACGGGTGATAGGCGCCACGGATATAACCGAACGGAAACTCTTTTGCCTGTACGCATGGACTATCGGTCAACGAAAGGCTATATTCGACCCAATTGTAGAATTATTAATAAATCGAGTGTCGGTGATCTATCAGCGTTTAAAATACCTCACATGTTACGTAAAGTAATATAAAAACAATTTACTCGACGAATCGAAATAAACAAACAAAATAGATAGCGTTAGTCAGTGAACGACAGCCAACTAAGTTCGCGATGTTCGATACCCTTTTGACTCGAACCGCGTGCTCGAAACTTTTCCAAGGCATCCGACGCCTTCCGAGTTCAAGTGTTTACAAGAGGAAAAAAACGATCGCTCGGCTACACGGACCTTTCGATAACGCTGCTCGATTCGGCTCGAATGTTTTAACCTTAGTCGTTAGCTCGTTAGCCCGTTAACCGAATCGTGCCCCGATCACCGATTATTATTAGTCGCGATTCGCAGCCGTGCTTCATAAGTATGTCATTTTATTCGCTCTACGTACATCTAAACTCGATTCTAATTAATCTCATAGATCTGTCAGAACTTATCGATACAATTTTATTCGCGATCTCTAGTTAAATATAAATTACGTCTATATTTCTATTAAATTTGAATTAACAGCGTGAGAAACTTTTAAAGTTATGAAAAAGTTTTCCGAATTGTCGGTACCTACGTACGTGTACTTATGTACGCGAGACTGTAGCAAAGAATGACAAAGTAAGAAGTGACGTATCAAAGCTAGAAACGAATAACCCCGAGCCGTCAAAGCGTTAATTTGTCATGTGACGTAGTTCCTGGTGAACGGTGTTCTTTCACCTGTGTGCTTTTTTCGATGGCTCACTATCGGTGGCCATGACGCACGAGCCGCGTAGCTGCACGTGCAACAACGTTCGAAGGAAAACAGAGGCCTGCAACGGGGACGGGCAGAAGAAAAAATATTTTCGTTTTTCGGCCACGATGTCGCGTTGCAAGCTGTCTGATACGCGAGACGCGAATTTAAACCTCTCGTTTCATCATCGTCGTGGCAAACACGCGTTTTATCGTCAGGATTATACCTGCAATTCTGTACGTGACTCGTTTAAGAAACTTTCGCCAGACTTCTGTTTCGAAATTGTGCCTTTGAAAGCATGCTAAAACGAACTCCCTCTTCGAACCTCGTGTACCTGTCCGATTTTCAATCTCCCCACTCCCCTATATCTCACGATTTAATTATCCGAACACGGCAATCGCTTCCAGTAAGTAGCTACCTAACATCGATGATCGATTAATCGATTAATCGCCGATACAGCTGTGATTAATAACCGTTCGACGCGTGTGCATTCGAGTTCAGGTTAAAAACTCACCGATCGACCAACTATTTACGTTTCCGCGTAATCGCTAACGCGTGGCCATTATTATTCTTAACCCCAACAAAATTTTTCTTTCGTTCAATACGAGCAAAATCAATGTGACATGTATTGTACTTACGTATATGTATTACACCTGTCACGAAACGCTCTCGAAATACGCGTTACGACCGTATCATTGGTGTAATTAGATCGAGACCAAGGTACTAGAGCTGTCACCTCGCTATCGAAAATTCCGACTGGCTTTCCCTCTCGATATTCGAACATTGAAATTTCATTTCCATAACCGAATCGCTATTTCCATAGCCCTGTTTATCCTGTGGAGTAAAGAACAAAGGCAAAGTTAACGTTCATTTGTGACGTTCACGAAACATTTACAATTCGAAAAGGAGATTACGATACGGATAGTACCATCCGTGATGCGGTTAGCTGTCACGCGAAAAATTCTGGCGAGACACGAGTCCCGAATCTTCTGGCCTAGCGAATGACCCTGCCAAAATTCGTTTGGCAATCGCGACGGTAAACATTGTAAGACGACGTTGAACAATCGAAAATGATCCAACAGTCGAAGGAAAGGACGGCGATCGTTTGGTCGCACGCGCACGTCGCGATTCCACCTGGTTCTCGTCGATTTTCTTCTTTCTTATCGTGAAATTATCTCGTGGACTCGCGGTCGATTTCCAGTGAAACGATTCGTGTACGATCGAAAAAGGAGCAAAGGTGTACGTCGATCGATCAATGGTCGCGACTCGTTGGATCAATTTAAGCGGATTACAACGAGCCTCTTTTGTAATCCCCGGATAGCTCGGCTAGCCTCGATAATTCGCGATCGATCCCCGTCATTGTCGCGTCGGGGGCAGAGATTGTCACGAAAACGGCAGAAGGGAGTAGACGGAGATCGGCGAGCGCGGAAACGCGAGAACAGAACGCTGCACTCTGTAACGATCTATTTTCTTCCGCGACCCTGACATTAATTCGAGAAAGCAAACGGCCCGGACAAATTTCAGAAGTCCCTAAATCTCGGTGGCGCCTTCGTCGAGATACTCGTTTCGTTTGTTACGCAACGTGTACGTAAATAATCGACGCACCGTTCTTACGCTATTATTAGCCGAGAGTGACGAGACGAATAGTTTGCCCAATTTACGAGAGACGCTATTCGCCTGGTCGATCCTCTACACATTAGGCTTCGCTCCAGCAAACTTACCCTTCTGGGATTCGTCGAGGATTCCTCGTTTAACATTCCCGCTAGGTTCGATCTCAACGATAGAATTCATTTAGGATTCTCCTAGCAAATCCTACGATTCTTTTAAGATCGTCTAACTAACCTCGCTCAGGATTCCCGAACAGTTCGTTCGCTTTATTTTATTTTATTAACTACACGGACGATTTATTTATTATACCGCGATTATTTATTATTATTCCACGTACCCAGAAAATGACAGAGATACGAGACGAGAATTGCATTATAAATGAACTTTGCACGCGTGTAGATTTTTTGGTCGAAAGACTGTTTACTCGAGCACGGTTGCAACCGCGCATAAAACGGTTGTTGTTTGTTCGACTGACCAAGAACAACATAACAGATTGTTACGTTGCGTTACGAGCTGTATCTTTCCTTGCCCGAGGAGTTTATAATAAACACGCGCGCGGGGGGATCCGAACGATTGCGATTAGAGCGCACGATAAATAAGTATATTTTTGTCAGTCGCGTCTAAAACGGCGAGATTAATGATCGCTCGCGGTCAAGTATCTCGATTCCTTTCGTTTCGCGTGCATATCTTCGCGATAAGCCTGATATATGTATGTAGGTACTGCCTCTCTAACTGACAGTTTTCTACTGCTTATTCAGCGTTATACGTATAAAAGCAATACACGCTTGCATCGTTCATTCTGGTCCTTTTAGTCTGTTAAAAAATTGTAAATGAGCAAGCGAGAGATCGTCAAATAGCGATACGATCGCTATAGGTGGTCTGTTCTCTTTAACAACGTCGATATACGGACAAGTTTAGAGTGATCTGTCGATGCTCGACCGAATCTAACTTGGAATTGTTGCCCTTTTTACTTTACCTTTATCTACTGGTATTCGATCGAAATTCGATCGGTTACAGTTATCGTTCGAGAGAACGAAGAAGAAGCGAACGGGATTAAATCGAAACTACTCGATAGATCTATTAGAAATAAAACAGAATCCTTAGCGGTAAAGGACTTAAATAAGGCATAAATATGTGAGCGTCCATTATACCCCATCCGTAGTTTTCGACCGAGGTTAAAAAGAGGCTCGTTGCTTTCCTCCGGGGCAACAGAACACGGCCAGACGATTCGCAGTCGACCGACATCGGTTCTTGTGTATATACATGTACATAAATTTGCCCCTTGGCTCGTTCACGTGCACCTTATCAGAGGATCGCGTGGCCGAAGTTCGAGCTCCGTTCGCGGGTATTAATTAAGCGGCGTGATTTCTGAAATTCCATCGCTCGTCGCCGGTTCGTCGCCGGTTCGTCGTCGCCTCTTGAATGGGGTTCGAAGATCGACCGACTGCCCAGCCACGAATGATTCACGCAGCCTACGCGATTTACTATATTGTTGTAAGTGACCGGGCGGTCGTAAACACCCGATAAACGGTACAAATACTTTTTCCTTTCCTTTCCTTTCCTTTTTCTTTCTCTTCTATTTTTTGCGTTTATTATACCTCGCATTATCGGTCACCGCGATACCACGCTACTACTCTCTCCTTTTTCCTCTTCTTCCGACGCTTCTGTTCGTCTCTTTGTCTCAGTACACACCCGTGCAGCCACGTTTCGCGCTTTACCCGCATTGTTCTTCTCCCACACGTTTCCTTTGCTGTTCTCTTTTTCTAATTGCATTTCTTCCGTACGCCGTGCCGACTAGCCGGTTTCTCCTCGATTAATCCCTCCCTCTCCTTCTGTTTTTTCCATTCATGCGAACGCGACCAGACCCCGTTTGTTGCCTCGACTTCGCGCCTTTGCTAGGAAAATTACCGCGTTTAACGCGCTTGCTCGACTCGCTGCCTTTTGTTCCCTTTTTCTTGTTTTTAATGGTACCACGGCATGAACATTGTTTTTTTACGGGCCACGGCGCATTATTCGATCAATTTAATTAATCGAACCTAACGAACTTAACGCTTCGGTATGGCAGAGGAAGTAGTTTGTCCTCCGATGGACAAGCCAAGTGTCCTTCGAAGAGTCCGCAATCGCGTTATCGTGCTTCGAGATTAGCAGAATTCGACGACGATTTTGTACGCTTCGTGACACGGCGCGTGACACGATATCGAAAGTACACAGTTATTTTCAATATATCCAGATCCATATATATCGTTTTACTTTGATATCCAACGGAAATCTATAATTGTTCGCTTTACGAAAGCATGAAAGGAACAAGTACGCTTGAAAACATACAATGTATCCACTCTGGGATAAAAAAATTTGATCGACACTGGAACGATACTCGAGCAATATCAACATCGTGATTATCTCGAGGGGCGTTAAATGTTCCAGGGGCGAATTTTTTCCCATTTACACGATCCGAAACGATCGAAGCGTTAAATGGCTCGATTCGTAGGTGGCGCCGAACCCCGAACGCGATAAGGGACACCAATCAGCCTACGCGATTTACTATATTGTTGTAAGTGACCGGGCGGTCGTAAACACCCGATAAACGGTACAAATACTTTTTCCTTTCCTTTCCTTTCCTTTTTCTTTCTCTTCTATTTTTTGCGTTTATTATACCTCGCATTATCGGTCACCGCGATACCACGCTACTACTCTCTCCTTTTTCCTCTTCTTCCGACGCTTCTGTTCGTCTCTTTGTCTCAGTACACACCCGTGCAGCCACGTTTCGCGCTTTACCCGCATTGTTCTTCTCCCACACGTTTCCTTTGCTGTTCTCTTTTTCTAATTGCATTTCTTCCGTACGCCGTGCCGACTAGCCGGTTTCTCCTCGATTAATCCCTCCCTCTCCTTCTGTTTTTTCCATTCATGCGAACGCGACCAGACCCCGTTTGTTGCCTCGACTTCGCGCCTTTGCTAGGAAAATTACCGCGTTTAACGCGCTTGCTCGACTCGCTGCCTTTTGTTCCCTTTTTCTTGTTTTTAATGGTACCACGGCATGAACATTGTTTTTTTACGGGCCACGGCGCATTATTCGATCAATTTAATTAATCGAACCTAACGAACTTAACGCTTCGGTATGGCAGAGGAAGTAGTTTGTCCTCCGATGGACAAGCCAAGTGTCCTTCGAAGAGTCCGCAATCGCGTTATCGTGCTTCGAGATTAGCAGAATTCGACGACGATTTTGTACGCTTCGTGACACGGCGCGTGACACGATATCGAAAGTACACAGTTATTTTCAATATATCCAGATCCATATATATCGTTTTACTTTGATATCCAACGGAAATCTATAATTGTTCGCTTTACGAAAGCATGAAAGGAACAAGTACGCTTGAAAACATACAATGTATCCACTCTGGGATAAAAAAATTTGATCGACACTGGAACGATACTCGAGCAATATCAACATCGTGATTATCTCGAGGGGCGTTAAATGTTCCAGGGGCGAATTTTTTCCCATTTACACGATCCGAAACGATCGAAGCGTTAAATGGCTCGATTCGTAGGTGGCGCCGAACCCCGAACGCGATAAGGGACACCAATTAACCGTCGAATGCGATTTCCGAGCGGAAGAATTAAAAGTATTTTCGAACTAACGTTGGAAGGGGTCGAATTTATAAATTAACCCTCGCAACAACGATGGTTGCCACACAGGCACAGAACTAAGCAAAATTAAGCTGAAATTAAGCTGAAATTAATCCAGTCGATTAATTTCATAATCGTTTCCCGAAACAGACGAACTTGCACGGTGTTGTTCAAAATTTATTTTCGATAATATATTATGCGCTTTATTCGATTAAACGGCTGCGCACGATAACGACCGTTATCCCGTAGCAATCGTCGGCGAATGACCGAGTTTCTATCAAAGTATGCCATAATGAAAGGGTTAAATGCTGTCAAAACACGAACACGACTTAGTCGCGGCGCGAGCTGCCCTTGGCTGGTGTCTCTCTCTCTCTCTCTCTCTCGAGAAAATGCTTGAACACGGTCGATCGGGTCAGCCTTCTTTCTTGTCCGCTTGGCCAGTTTCATTCTCTTTTGTGTACCTAGACAGCGCGTACAATGTAAATCGATAAAATGTCGCGACGCGTCGCGTCGCGTTGCGTTGCGTCAGGTCTTTAGACTTTTATCGGCAGGTACAGCTTCGCTTCGTAACGCACTATCGAACGTCGATAGGCCGATTTCCCTCGAATTCCGGACTAATTAGTCACGTAAGCGCTAGATCCTGCAATCGGCGATCGGTCTGGAATTCAACGATCAGATCTTGACGCGATTGCGAGCCATGAACGTCGATCCGTGGCATGGTTCGAGTTCTGTTCTCTCGCTGTCGTACCGCACCGCACCGCGCCGCGATCTCGTTGCCCGATAAACACCAGGACGGTCAACAAACGTTCGGTTGTCGGCGCTGTCCGTTACCGAGTGAAAACTCGCGCCGACCGAGAAGCCGATTAATCGTAACCTAACTCTATCCGTATAGCCCTTCGAGCCCCCCTAGTTTCGCTGAAATTCGCGGGATATTCAATTGAAATTCGCTAAAGGCGCAACGCTCGACGTTACAGTGGAAATTACAAGTCTCGCCATGGATATACATTGTATAGAACGCTCTTATTAGGAACGAGACCGACGGGAAAATAAACTGGGAAATTTGCATCTGAGCAGCCATCGGGAAGCAAATTCGTAGAAATTGGAGTAATTTCGAGCGTTTTGCTTATCGTTACGTCCCGCCCGAATCACTGTTAATAATAGTCATTTAATGCGGCCCTTAAATATATTTCGTCGAAACGTCGAACGTTCGTAACCTTCGCCTTAATACCTCTTACGTTTTGAAATGTTAATCCGAGACAACGAGGTATACTTTCGTCGGAAAAATGTTCTTTCATCGGTTAAAATTTAAAAACGTTAATTAGGAGATAGAAACGTTAACTCGTGAAATTGTGGAAATTTCGAAAATAATTAATCCTCGTCGATGCCGATAGATTATCGAAAAAATAAAAACCGATAAAACGATCGAAACGATTGTTTTGTTAGCGTTGTGGAGGTCGCTCCTTTATTTGTCAGGTGTCTATGTTGCTGGTGCATTCGTTAATTAGTCGGTCACTTATTTCGCCGAACAGAACTGTTTCTCTCCCTTTTGGATCCAACAAAGGCGAGCTGGTTATCGGTATGATCGTTTAATCGCGGTATCATTATGGCATGCGCGTCGAATGACGCGACACTGCACCTTGCTCATTTTCCACGTTGGTCATCCGCGCGAACTACGCGCGATATTACGCTCGAGAAAGGTATGTCGCGTCGTTTCTTCGCGAAACACTCGTCAACGACTCGCATAACAATCGTCTATTCGATGTCTATTTGATAAACGATTAATCATCGATACGCGTACGAGTTTCTAGTCTGTTCGTCGAAGACAAAGGAACAAGAAAGTAGCTGCTTCGAAACGACAAAAGTCTTTCTTTAATTTTCTCGCGATTGCGTTTGCTCGCCGTTCAAATTTCACGAATAATACATTTATTT